AGTAGTAGTAGTAGTAGTAGTAGTAGTAGTAGTAGTAGTAGTAGTAGTAGTAGTAGTAGTAGTAGTAGTAGTAGTAGTAGTAGTAGTAGTAGTAGTAGTAGTAGTAGTAGTAGTGTAGTAGAAGAAGGAGGAGGAGGGCCGCCGACGAAGAGAGGAAGAGAGAGAGAGAGAGAGAGGGGGGGAGACTCGGGAAGAGCGCAAGTTCTCATTGGTTCGCGCCTCGGCCATATTATAAGCGGCTGCAGTCCGCGCTAGTTAATGTTAGCCCGAACCTCCACAAGAGACAGACGCATCTCTTTTGCTACTACCTATATATATATATATATATCTATATATATATATCTATATATATATCTATATATATGTGTGTGTGTATATATATATAATACGTGTGTATATGTATATATATATTATTCTTTTTTTTTTTTGAATCGTCTCAGTTTAAAAAGTTTTCGTATTTAAAATATATATACGTTTAAAATCGCGCGGGTTAAAAATTTAAAGAAAGAGAGAGAAAGAGAGATAGAGAAAGAGAGAGAGAGAGAGAGAGAAAGAGTTTAATCTCCTATATTACTATTCTCTTCTCTTTCGCGTGCAACACACAGTTAAATATCGCAAGTCGAACTGAGGTACGCACACATAAATACATTGATACGTAGATACATAGATACATAAATAGATAGATACGTGTGTATATACGTATATACATAAGATATACATATATATACATATATATATATATATGTATATATATATATAATATCAAGTTGTTCTCGTCCATGCACACGTGTGTTTGTATTCTACGAGAGAGAGAAAGAAAGAGAGAGAGAGAGAGAGAGAGAGAGAGAGAAAGAAAGAGAGAGGGGGACAGAGAGAAACATAAATAGATAGTGAAAGATAGAGAGAAAGAGAGGATAAATCTTGTGAACGACAGTGTCTAGACGCTTTTCAATTGATCTTCTTCTCCTTCTTGATCTTCTTCTTGATCTTCATCTTCTACTCGATCCTCTTCTCCTTCTTCTTTTTCTTCTTCCTCTTTTTTTTTTTCTTTTTTTTTTTCTTTTTGATCAACCACAGGATTTATCACCTGTGACAACATCATGTCTATTTAACTTGTCAATGTCGGATTTACTTTTTTCTATTTCTTTTTTGACTCTTTCTCTCTTTTTCTTTCTCTTTCTCTCTTTCTCTCTCTCTCTTTCTCTTTCTCTTTCTCTTTCTCTTCTGGTCTCCCTCTCTTTCTTTCTTTCTTCTTTTTTTCTTATCATCAATTAATATTATCCTTTTTTTTTCTGGGACAAAGTGATTATAACTTAATATCGATCATTTACGGTTCCTCTTGGATAACTTTCCTGTGGAAGGACAAAAGTGAAATATAAGTGAAAGAAACGTCGAGAGAGAGAGAGAGAGAGAGAAGAAAAGAAGAGAAGAGAAGAGAGAAGAGAGAAGAGAGAAGAGAGAAAAGAGTGGAGGTTTAAAGAGAGTGCGACATCGACGGGATCCTTTCGATCGCGAATACGCGCTGTGCGAGACCTAATTTCGTTGACTCTCCGGAGAGTGGAGCGCTCGAAGAGAGCGTGAACTACACGAAACAAGAGAGAGAGAGAAAGAGAGAGAGAAAGAGAAAGAGAGAGAGAGAGAGAGAGAGAGAAAGAGTTCGAACGAGACTGTGAAAGAAAAAAAGAAGAGGGGAAATACAAGATACAAAACATGTAAGTCCAACAAGTTCGAATTATATTATATTTTTATTTATCTTTAAGTTTCGTGTTAGACATTTATAAATTTTTTTTTCTTTTTTTTTTTTTTGTTGTCGACGGATTTTCTTTTTTTTTTTTTTCTTTTCCTTTTTATCTACAACTTAATAATAACTCGCTGACGATCGTTCGTGACTAATAATGGTCAACGTGAAAAATTCGAGTCGTGATAAGGTATTTCCGCATATTTCTTTTTTCTTGTTAATTTTACGTAAATGAAATAAATCGATAGTGATCGTAAAAATGATTGAAAAGGAGATACGGAAGTGATTAAAAATGATCTGTGTATATATATATATATATATATATATATATATATATATATATATACATATATAAAGTGAATGAGGAAACGTGTGTATTATTAAAATACATATATGTTTGATATAAACGATATTAGATGTATTTATTAAAAATTATGACGTTACTTGATCGATCGATCAAATACTATGAATACTATGATATATTATATAATTTATTTAAATGGAAAATATTAAAAATAATTAATATTTATTTATTAATTATCAACTTAGATCGGACAATAATATACGTCGAAAATTTTTAACGTCATTTATTAACCAAAACTCAATATTCTGTACTATTCTTTTTATATATATATATATATATATATATATATATATATATATATATAAAATATTATATAACATTAAAAATGTTATATAGATATACATTCAGACAGAAAATATCTACAAAAATGTTAACATTATTTATCGGCTACTTAAAAAAAGTCCCGCGATACATATCATATACTATCCCATATAAATAATACATGAACATATATATATATACATATATATATATATATATATATATATATATATATATATTAGGTATTGTTAGGATAGGCAAAATAGAAAGAAAATTTTGGAAAATAATTATCGACCAATTGAAATACTTAAATACACAGAATACACACACATATACACATAATCACATAAATACATACATAAATAAAAATGGCGGGTAACCGTGAAGCAAGTAAATAAGAAGCCCTGTACTCGCGTAAAGGTAAGGGCACCAAAGACTTTCTCGCGAAATCCTTTTGCTCCTTTTCAGTCGCTCGTTCTCCTTGTCCTTCTATCGCGACCCACGCGTTTCACGAGCCGACGAGAGAGCTCTCCTTACCGAGCGGTAAATTTAGTCTCGTATCGGCTATCGACGCGTTGATACGATTATTTTATGTGTGTGTATATATATATATAAATTTATATATATATATATATGTATATATGTATATACACATAATATGTGTGTATGTGTGTGTGTTTGTGTATGTGTATATATCGTTTGAGTTTAATCGAGCGTGTAAACGATACTTTCTTTCATTGGGAAGATTAAACTTTGAGATTTCTTCTATTACTTACGAGAGAGAGAGAGAGAGAGAGAGAGAGAGAGAGAGAGAGAGAGAGAGCGAGAAAGAGAGAGAGAGAGAGAAAGAAGAGAAAGAATTTGATTAATTAATTTATCGATCGATTGTTAAAAATTAAGAAATAATATTAGTATTAATTAGAAGCGTGTTTATAATGCTTTAGGTTTTGTATCAAAGAATATAATGGAAATATAAATATTAGATTTGATTAGAAATTTATCAAAATTTATATTATATGTATATATATATGTATATATATGTATATATATATATATATATATATATATGTGTGTGTATTGATTGTTTATTAAAAATGAATTATTAGGATACTTAAAAGTCTAGTAAATATTTATAATATTTAATATACATGATAAATTAATCATGTGTTAAATTCGTTTAAGTGGATATAAATTAAAGAAAAAAGAAAAAGAAAAAAAAGAAAGGAAAGGAGAAAAAAGTCGATCGAAAAATATAAATATTAGAATTCCTTGGAATTATATCGATGATATTTCAGAATTGCATCAATGTAGAAATAAACGTTGGAAAGTAAATTTTTACTCTTGATTAGAAGTAGATTAGTAGATTTCTTTTAGATTGTATTAAAGATGATCGGTAAAAAGATCAATATATTAGACTTGCTTTTTAAAAAGTTTATATAAAACTTGATATTATTAATATAAAAGAAGATGCTGTGTGTGTGTGTGTGTGTGTGTGTGTGTGTGTAAGAGAAAGAAAAAGAGAGAAAGAGAAAGAGATAAAGAGATAAAAAAGAAAGAGAGAGAGAAACTATGGTTGTCATTGTTATTATCTAATATCAATCTATATTATTGTAATAACATGACTGGCAATTTTAAAATTATCCTTTTAGAAAATATTTTGAAAAATGAGAGAAAGAAAGAGAGAAAGAGAGAGAGAGAGAGAGAGAGAGAGAGAGAGGGAGAGAGAGAGAGAGAAAGAGAGAAATAAGAGAAAAAGAAATAAAAAATGTTTATAAAAATAAGAGAGAGAGAGAGAGAGAGAGACAGAGAAAGAGATAAAGAATAAAAGATCGAAGAAGGAACTCTCTCGCGATCCCACGGTACGATACGTGCTCGGCGGCTGACTCGAAGGGACTAGAAGATGAAAAAGAAAAGAAGAACGAGCGAACGAACCAACGAACGAACAAACGAACGAACGAACGAACGAACGAACGAACGAACGAACGAGAAGAAGAGAGAGAGAGAGAGAGAGAGAGAGGGAGAACATAGGGGTCTATCTTTAGAGTTCATTCAGAGAATCCTTTGGCCACGACCGTGCAGAGGGCCAACACGCGAGAGCTGACTCAGGCTTACGTTCAAACTCACTCTCACACATACATACACATATATTACTCTTATGTACATAATCGTAAAAGACAGAGAGAGAGAGAGAGAGAGAGAGAGAGAGAGAGAGAGAGAGAGAGAAAACGAAAGTATTTCTTATCGATAAAGAAATAAAAGTTAGAAAGGGAACAAAAATTTCATATCTCTTTTTCATGTAAATTTATATTTCCTCTTCTACTACTACTACTACTACTACTACTACTACAATACTACTGCTACTACTACTACTACTACAATACTACTGCTACTACTACTACTACTACTATTACTACTACTACTATTTCTACTACTTTGTTGTTATTATTCTTACTAAAAAAATATGTTTATTACATAATAATAATAATGGTAGTAATAATAATAATAATAATAATAATAAGAAGAAGAAGAAGAAGAAGAAGAAATGAAGATCGGTATCTACAAAGGAGAGAAAGAAAGAGAGAGAGAGAGAGAGAAAGAGAGATAGGTAAAAGGAAGAAGAGAATGTTTTTCCGTCTTCCTTCTTTCTCTCTCTCTCTCTCTCTCTCTCTCTCTCTCTCTCTCTCTCTCTACCTCTCTCTCTCTTTCTCTCTGTCTCTCTTTCTCATGGAATCAAGATTTAACGGTGTTGCGGATTAGAAAAGGCAAACACGTAATATCGAAAACAGGTTTGAACGTCTACGCGGGAACAGAGAGAACGGCGCGGCGGAGGCGGTGGTGGTGATGATGATGATGGTGGTGGTGGTGGTGGTGGTGATGGGCGGTGGGCGGCGATGGTGGCGGCGGCAGCAGCGTGCACGCTGTCGAATGACGTCCACTGAGCTAATTGAATTGTACAAACGTGACGCGGCTGATGTAGAACCCAGTACGATAATCTCTGGTAAAAGGAAAAGGAGAATTATTAATGATAAATAATTTTATTTGAATCCAATTTTTTTACCTTACGTATACCTACGTACCCTTTTTTTTTTTTTATTCGATTGGAATATACCGATGAAGATAAATAGTTAGATAAATAGAGAAAGAGAGAGAGAGAAAGAGAGAGAGAGAAAGAGAGAGAGAGAGACACAAATTTCAAGGATCAAAGTTAAAAATGCTATGAATAAAAAATTATATTCTACGTAATCAGAGTATAAAATATATATATATACCTATATATATAATAATAATAATAATAATAATAATAATAATAATAATAATAATAATAATAATAAAATTTCTTGGAGGAAGGAGAGAATTTTCTACATAAAAAATTATATGCCATCTAATTAAAATTATAAAATATATATAATGTATACAACAGAAGATACTTGCAAAAAGTTTCAAGTTACAGCTAGAAAGATTAATAAGAAAGATAGATAGATAGAGAGAGAGAGAGAGAGAGAGAGAAGGTAAGAGAGCAAAAGTTTACCTTGATCAAAGATACGTATACTCGTAAGCAGAAAATTATATGGCTATTTAATTAAAATTAATAACATACGAACTAGAGATATATTATGTACTTGTTAAAAAAAATGTTGTAGGAGAGATAAGCTTAGAATTATTAATAAGCAAAAAAAAATTGAAAAAGAGAGAAAAATAGAAGAAAATTTCCTGGTCCAAAGAGTACGGATGCTTTACATGGACAAAATTGGATAATAAAATATTAGATAATAAAAATTATTATATACGAATTAGAAAGAGAAAGAGAGAGATAGAGATAGAGACAGAGATAGACAGAGAGAGAGAGAGAGAGAGAGATCCTAGAAACTAATAATACAAGTTATCAAGAGAGTAAAATCGAGAAAGAAATAAAGAAAGAAAAGAAAAAAGAGAGAGAGAGAGAGAGAGAGAGAGAGAGAGAGAGGATCGTAAATGCGCGAGCGTAACAAAACCACAAGCACGAGTGTACGAGGTATATCGAGTTACCTTCTCAGCTTGTTCTCTACGCGTAACCGCACTCTGCGATCTCGAGATCGGAGTC